AACTGTTGACGGACGCACGGACGCACGGACGCACGCAGGCTCATGCGATTCTACAAGCTGCATCTGACTATGTCATGATGAGCTAAAGATGTAGGTACTCGCTAACACGGCTGAACCCACCGGCTCGGAGGGCCGGTGTTTTGCCAATGTTACTGAACCTCCGAACAATTTGCCTGCATATGCCGGTGGGCCGGTGCTAATTTCGCGCCCTGATATACACACATATACATCACAGGAACTTGATGCATGTCAATTCAGGCATTAAGGCATGTTGGAAGATTTACGCGACGTCACAAGCTCCGGTTTTGAAGGCACGTCGGTCGCCACACGCGTCATAGACCCGTGAAGAACCGTGATTAGTAACAGTCTAGTAATCTATCTTGTGTAAGACATCTAGTATGTGCGACTCACTCACCTCGGCTGCAGCGACGCACTGTTCTAGCTCTTCGTTCTCTCCAAACTCGTTCCTGTACGCTCCGCTCACCATCCTGTCGCTCGCCAAGTGTCTGCCAAACACCTGCAGATGGCAGCACCAGCATATAAACATCGATCCACGGACGCGTGGGTGGATAGACTAATGTCCCGTCTATACATATATACTATTAACCAAGGTGTTCGAGAAGGCACCTGTAACTCAATTAATTTCTAATATTCTAATCTCTAATTAATTTCTAAACTTCTAACCTTGAATTAATATATTATCTTTTAATCTCTAATTTATTTCTAATCTTCCATATCACGTATTAAACCTTCAATACAAAATTCTGGCAAACGTGGCGTGACTGCTGAAGTGGGAGTACGAGTTAGATACACTCCTCCCTCCTCCTCCCTCTCCCCTCCTTCCTCCTCCTCCCTCTCCCCCTCCTTCCGCCTCCTCCCTTTCCCCTTCCTTCCTCCCTCTCCCTCCCTCCTTCCTCCTCCTCCCTCTCTCTCCTCCCCCGCTCTACATGTACCTTCTCCATGGCATCGCTGATTTCTCCCACGGAGCAGCGAGCGCGCGCTGCGATGATGGATGCTTCCATGAGGTTACCGTCGCCCCGCGCCGCCGCCTCCAGGCTGGCCAACGCATCCGCCGCCTAGAGAAAACAACCGAACAAACATCGATGCAACGTAACCATAAACAATAATTACATTTATAATATAGTAGTAATAAACATAAAAATAATAATAATAAATACTCCATAGGTATATAATCCATAGGTTATAATATTAATGGTAATAATATTAATCCATAGGTAATAATAAATATAATAAACATAATCACATAAACGGTTAAACCACAACTGTCTCGCGCACATGCTCACTTGTCACACGAATGCTCACCTGTTTGGCGTTGCGGGAACCGCGGATCTGTGTGAGTCGGTCGACCTGCTGCTGCCGCACCTGACTGTTGTCAATCGTTAGTACCTCGACGCTGTCCTCCGTCTCCAACTTATACTTGTTCACACCGACGATGACCTCTGAAACACTCTATCACAGCATCTCTCTTGCGCGCGCGTTTCAGAGGTGATCGTAGACGTTCTCTTGTCTCGGCCGTGGCGCCCTCTATCACCGCGTCTCTCTCTTGCGCGCGTGGGGCGCCACGGCCGAGACAAGAGAACGTCTACGATCACCTCTGAAACGCGCGCACAAGAGAGAGACGCGGTGATAGAGGGCGCCACGGCCGAGACAAGAGAACGTCTACGATCACCTCTGAAACACACGCGCACAAGAGAGAGACGCGGTGATAGAGGGCGCCACGGCCGAGACAAGAGAACGTCTACGATCACCTCTGAAACGCGCGCGCAAGAGAGATGCTGTGATAGAGGGCGCCACGGCTGAGACAAGAGAACGTCTACGATCACCTCTGAAACACGCGCGCAAGAGAGAGACTGTGATAGAGGGCGCCACGGCTGAGACAAGAGAACGTCTACGATCACCTCTGAAA